TGAGAAGTAAGGGACTGAAAAAATCACCTGGCTGCAGCTTTGTGGAGGTAGATAAGATGGTTCATAGGTTCTTAGTTGGAGATAAGTCACACCCACAGACACATGATGTTTATGCCAAGTTAAAAGAGTTGAATCTGCGGCTCATGGAGGCGGGATACAAGCCTGACACCACTTCAGTGTTCTATGATGTTGAAGAAGAAGCAAAGGAGAAGATGCTTTGGGATCATAGTGAGAGATTGGCAATTGCTTTTGCCCTTATTAACACAGGACCAGGGACCACAATCAGGATTACCAAGAATCTTCGTGTATGTAATGATTGCCACACAGTAACGAAAATGATTTCTGAGCTTATGAATCGAGAGATTATAATGCGAGATATCCATAGGTTCCACCACTTTAGACATGGATTTTGCTCTTGTGGGGATTATTGGTGAATAGTCTTTTGTCATAAGACATCTCTACATTCATTCCATGGGAAATACAGATTCTTTTATTCACACAACAAAGATCTCAAATTGTTTTGACATTGCCACATTATGCCAATTTATTGGTTATCCAGATCGAACCACCACTTTATTTAATTCATTACCAGCTACTTCTCTTCCCACTTGGCTGTTGTATCACTTAAATAGAGAAAATAATTTCCTTATCAAATTAGAAAGTAGACCACCACTGACACTCATATCTGTTTCCTTATCCCATGGGAATGCATCCTCTGCTTTGGTTGCTTCCAGAAGTTGTTTGATTGAAATCTCTGGTTTTGACCGTTCCAAAGGACCTAGGTGGTGGTTGTACTTCTTTGGGTCTGGACAATAATCCTGTAGAAAAGAGGGATGGAATGACATTTTGCACCCTGAAAGAGCATATGCTTAAGGCACATACATGAAGATTGCTTACCTGATCAGCATGCATCTTCTTTACAAATGTCTTGAATAAGTTGAGATTCGTCTTTTGTAGTAGTTCATCAGACAAACGAAGGTATGTCACTCCATACATCCTCAATTTTGGTTGGCTGTCTCTATTGATGCCATTTGGTCTAGCATTTAAAAGGATTTGATTATAAGCTGTACTGTCGTACCTTGAAAGTGCATTTTCCCCTGCAACTTCTATGTTTTCTCTCCAACCTCCACTCAAAACCTGCACATGCATGTTGCAAACTATAATTTTCATCATATGCAGTTATACATTTTGAAAGCATCATTAGAATAATTTTTTTTATTTTAAAGTGCTTTTTACTTTCCATATGTTCTTCAATTGAAGAGTATAAATTCGGTAAGAAGCATATTTGATATGTTCTAGCTAGAACCTGGGGTTTTACTGGAATTGGGGAATTGAATTTCATGTTTCTGATACTAATTGTCAATGCAAAGAAAGATGTATTTTTGTAGGTTTTCCAGAAAAAATCATTTTTGGCATGTTTTGAGGGGATTGTACAAGCAGATAACACTACATCAGCATTTTCTCAATGAGAAATGAAACT